CAGTAGAGGCCATTTTTCAGGCTGTCTTGCAGCTAAGGATGGGCATGTGATTAGGTAGTATGTGCAGCATATAATGTGTAAATGGAAGTGCTTTGTGAAATTTTTTGCTTCCAACCTCACCCTCACTTCATGAAATATAGAATGACGCCTGTAGTTTTAGCAGCCATCTCGCCCCGTTAGATGACCTTGAGGATGGCAAGGCTGGAGATGAAAAAGCACATCCTGAGGTTCCCTGGGAAGAACGTGGAGATGGCATGCCAATTCCTGTCTGCCCCTTCCAGACTTCTTTTGCATGAGTCAGAAATAAACTTCCACCTCTTTGTGTTTTGTCTGTTCCTGTTTTTTGAGATGGAATCTCACTCTGTCACCCAGGTTGGAGGGCAGTGGCACAATCTTGGCTCACTGCAACCTCCACCTCCTGGGTTCAAGCGATTCTTCAGCTTCAGCCTCCAGAGTAGCTGGGACTACAGGCACCCGCCACCATGCCCTGCTAATTTTTGTATTTTTAGTAGAGACAGAGTTTTACCATATCGGCAAGGCTGATTTTGATCTGTTAACCTTGTGATCTGCCCGCCTTGAGCCTCCCAAAGTGCTGGGATTACAGGTGTGAGTCACCTTGCCCAGCCATACTTCCACCTCTTTGAAGCCAGCTAAATTTACTCCTATTAGACATAGTGTATCACACTTGGCATCTTTTTATGGAATTGATTTTGATTACTACTGCCGGATACTCTCTTGTGCCTCTTCTCCAGTCTCCTTCCTTTAAAACCTAGCTTATATTTCAATTTGTCTACAAAGCTTTCTTTGACCACCAGTTTCACTATGGCAAATTTCAAATAAGTTACCAGGTTTCAAAATTATATATATATATTTTTTTTTAAAAAAAAGCTTTTATTATGAAAAATTCCAAACATACAGAAACAAAGAATAATATAATGAAATACATTTTACAAAGAGTTTCTCTATTGGTCATAAAGGTTGACTTGATGTCGCAGCCTGGGCTCCCACCCTCACTCTTCCATGTGTGTCTTTCTGCAGTGCTGAGCTCAGATTAAGAGAGGCCTCCTGCAAATAGCCAATTTTTAAAATTTTGGGAAATTTCCTATTATTTTGTACTTTATATTATAAAATACATATACAGATAGTTTCTACTACCTTAATGATTCAAAATATGTTAGATTAGATAGGACACTGTGAAAGTTGGCCCTAGTAGTTGGGGCCGGGCACAGTGGCTCACGTTTGCTTTCCCAGGACTTTGGGAGGCTGAGGTGGGTGGATCACAGGAGGTCAGGAGCTCGAGACTAGCCTGGCCAATATGGCAGAACGCTGTCTCTACTAAAAATGCAAAAATGAGCAGGGCGTGGTGATGAACTCCTGTAATCCCAGCTACTTGGGAGGCTGAGGAAGGAGTATCATCTGAACCCAGGAGGCAGAGGTTGCAGGCCAATGCACTCCAGCCTGGATAACAGTGTAAGACTCCATCTATTTTTTTTTTTTTTTTAGGGACAGCGTTTACATGTTGGTCAGGCTGGTCTCGAACTCCCAACCTCAGGTGATCCACCCACCTCGGCCTCCCAAAGTACTGAGATTATAGGCATGAGCCACTGAGCCCAGCAACTCCATCTCAAAAAAAGAAAAGAAAAGAAATAGCCTTTTGGCTAAACAGAAATATCATATGACCTAAAATTCTGCTCCTGGGCATACACTCATGAAAACTGAGAACATGTTCAGACAAAAACTTGTACACAAATGTTCACAGATTAGCATTGTTCATAGTCATCAAAAAGTGGAATCAATGCAAATATCCATTAGCTGATGAGTAGATAAACAAAATGTAGTATATCCATACAATGGAATATTAGTCAGCCATAAAAAGAATGAAGTACCGGCATATTTTACAACATAGATGAGCTTTAAAAACATTATGCTGAGTGAAATAAGCCAGACTCAAGAGGCTATATATTGTATGATTTCATTTGTATGAAATACCCAAAATAGGAAAATCCACTGAGACAGAAAGAAAATTAGCAGTTGCTTGGGGTTAGAGGTAAGAATTATGAAATGTTCTGAAATTAGATAGTGGTGATGGCTTCATAACCTTATGAATGTACTAGAAATCACTGAATTGTGGCCGGGCATGGTGGCTCAAGCCTGTAATCCCAGCACTTTGGGAGGCTGAGGCGGGTGGATCACGAGGTTGAGAGATCAAGACCATCCTGGTCAACATCGTGAAATCCCGTCTCTACTAAAAATACAAAAAATTAGCTGGGCATGGTGGCACATGCCTGTAATCCCAGCTACTCAGGAGGCTGAGGCAGGAGAATTGCTTGAACCCAGGAGGCGGACGTTGCGGTGAGCCGAATGGTGCCATTGCACTCCAGCCTGGGTACCTGGGTAACAAGAGCAAAACTCCGCCTCAAAAAAAAAGAAATCACTGAATTGTATACTTTAAAATGGTGAATTCAGTGGCATGTGAATTGTATTTCAATTTTTTTTAAAAAACTTTGTACATGTTTTCTATAGCAGCACAGGCAATTTTTAGGATAAAATCCTATAAGTGGGATTGGTGGGTTAAAGGTCGTATACAATTTTAGTATGTAATTTTGATAGATTTTGCCGAATTTTCCCATAGATTTGTTGCCAATTTGTCATTAACAAGTTAAGAGAATCTGTTTCCCAATAGCCTTACCAGTAGCATGCATTGTCAAACTTTCAGAGTTTTGTCAAACTGATAGATTAAAAAATGGTATCTGGGTGTAGTTTTAATTTGCTGCTCTCTCATTATGGCTGAAATTGAGCTTTTATTCTTTTTGCCTATTTCCTGCAAAATAAATTTAATCTATTTGAAATACTTGTTTATACTGCCATGTTTTGTTACATAAGAATCTGTAATTCTTATGGTAGGGAAGAATTTGTTCTGTTTCCAGACCTCTCCACAATTTCAGTTCTACCCTACAGTCTAGTATATAATTATTCAAATTAGCGATGATTCTCTTTGGCAACAAATTGAACCTTTGCAGAAAATGAACCAAATGCCATAAAAGGAAAATAAAAGCTGACTTTTGAGCCTTTGAATCTGAGCTTTTGAAAACCAAACAAAAGGTTACAGCCTCTCCAAATTACTGATTACAAAATAGTCTATGAATCCTGACATTTGATTTTTCCCCATCCCGAGGGTTAAATTAATGAGTTGTAGCTCTTTCTTCTAGCAAGAAAAATAGACCATATAAACACTAGTCATTCCCTAAATACATTTATTTGCATAGCTCTTTCCATCAGTGAAGATTATTCCTCCATCTGTATAATAACTTGGATCATAAACATGCCCATTTTCAGGGTAGAAAAACAGATTCTGATGAGAACTCCAAGTTGAGATTAATTGCAAGGCTGCCTGCCAAGAACACGTGGCTAGTCTGATTTTCAGTAGCAATACTTTAGACCCTACTATTTCCAAACAAATGTTTTAAGTCTAGTCTTTTAAGTATCCAAATAAATTTAGTACCCAACTAAATTTATTTTTAAGTGGATACATAACTCAATAGTTTCCTTGTGCTTCACACCAAATGGTCCTCTTAATAGCATTTTCCCTCCCTAGATCTGAGCTCTTGTCTCTTGAGTCTTAGAGAAGCTGTTGAAGATCATGGCAACAACTGAATCAGAGCTGGGATATAATGAGAGCTAACATTTCTGGAGAACTTGCTGTGTGCCAGGCTCAGTTATAAAAACTTTCACTTATGTGGGCCGGGTGCGGTGGCTCAAGCCTATAATCCCAGCACTTTGGGAGGCCGAGGCGGGTGGATCACGAGGTCAAGAGATCCAGACCATCCTGGTCAACATGGTGAAACCCCGTCTCTACTAAAAACACACAAAAAAATTAGCTGGGCATGGCGACGCGTGCCTGTAGTCCCAGCCACTCAGGAGGCTGAGACAGGAGAATTGCCTGAACCCAGGAGACGGAGGTTGCGGTGAGCCGAGATCGCGCCATTGCACTCCAGCCTGGGTAACAAGAGTGAAACTCCGTCTCAAAAAAAAACCAAAAAAAGAAAACACACACACACACACACACACACACACACACACACACACAAAACAATAACAACAAAAACCTTTCAGTTATGTTAACTAATTTACCTTTCACAGCAGCATATGAGATATAGGTTATAATTATTGCCATTTATACTGAGGAAGAAACCAAAGCACCTTGCCTGAGGTCACCCAGTTGGAAACAGAGTTAAGATTCCAACCTACAAAGTCTGATTCTATTGCCTATGTTCCTAACCACTACTCTATATTAAATCTCTGGGGCAATCCAATTCATCACCCATTTCATAAACAAAGTGCTCCCTGTTCCTGGTTTAATAGTATATAAGGGAAAATGGGACAATAATTTTCCTCTGTCAAATTTTACATGGATTATGAATTAGCCCAGGCTGGGTGAGTCCAGAGAAATTACAACATAATTGGTTTTGGGAACCATATATCTAGGCTTGTCCAATGAGATAAATAAAAATATAGGACACACAATTAAATTTGAATTTTGGATAATTAATGAATAATTCATTAGTATAAGTATGTTCCATGCAATACTTGGGATAAATTTATGCTAAGAAATTATTTATTGTTTATCTGAAATTCACATTTTTTTTTCAGATATTTGAAATACAACTTTATTCTGATTCTAAACGAAAAGGAATGGGAATGACAGTAACAAACAAGATTTCACCACTGAATATTGTGATATGAATGCAGCAGTCTCATATCTGAAACTCAGGGAATCAGCTGCGTTCCAAACAGCTAAATATGCAGATCCAAACAATGAAGGTATATTTTAAACTGCCACATTCACTCCGAAGCCCACTCATCTCCTTCAGCATCCCACAGATGAAGCACATGTCCCGCTTAGCTAGATAACAATGAAGTGGCACACACGCTGCACCGCTGACATCGCGGGACAGCTGCCGATAAAACCAGACTTCGGACGCGGGGCTCCTGCTTCATTCTCACAGGTCGTCATCCTCATCCTCATCCGGGAGAGCAGTGGTTCCAGCAGCCTCTAAGTCGTGCTCACACTGCGCTGCCAAAGCTGGGTCCAAGACCACCCCCGGCGGGGCAAGAGCAGGCACGGCAACGGATTCCAAATTAGGGTCTCCAAGGAGCTTCCTAGCAAGCCAGAGGAAGGGCTTTTCAAAGTTGTCGTTACTTTGGCAGAAATGTCGTAGTACTGAAGATTCTTCTTTCGGTGGAAGACAATGGATTCTGCCTTCACTTTCCCGTCCTTAATGTCCACTTTGTTGCCACATAACAGGATGGGGATGTTCTCACGCACTCGCACCAGATCTCTATGCCAGTGAGGCACGTTCTTGTAAATAACTCTGGATGTTACATCGAACATTATGATGGCACACTGGGCCTGGAGACAATAGCCATTCCCCAGTCCGCCAAATTTCTCCTGGCCGGCCGTGTCCCGCGCATTGAACTTAACGGGTCCTCTGTTAGTGTGGGACACTAGGGGATGAACCTCAACACCCAAGGTGGTTACATGCTTCTTCTCAAATTCACCAGTCAAATGACATTTCACAAAGGTCGTTTTTCCGGCACCACCATCACCAACCAATACAAGTTTAAACTGGACCCGGGGCTCTCCCTGCGCACCATCGCGGCATTCCTTCCAGAAGGGTCTACGCGCCCGTCCGACTGAGGCTGGAAAGATGGCGGAAGCCTGAAATTCAAATTTAATGAAGCACTTTGTATTTTATCTAGTGACCCTACATACACTAAAAGGTAAAATATTAAATGCGTGCCTTAAGGGCACTTTTACTTCTTATTGTATTCAGTTCTATATCATTTGAATTATGTATAGTTTACCGAGATTCTCAAAACCTTTCCTGAAACCTCTAGCCAACCTCAGCTTATACCCATGACTGAACCAGTCTTTGTTTTGTTTTTTCTTTTTTCTTTCTTTCTTTCTTTCTTTTTTTTTTTTTGACAGAGTCTCTCTCTGTCACTCAGGTGGAGTGCAGTGACGTGATCTTGGCTCATTGTAACCTCTACCTCACAGGTTGAAGCGATTCTCCTGACTCCATTTCCTGAGTTGCTGGGATTACAGGCGCATGCCACCATGCCCTGCTAATTTTTGTATTTTTTAGTAGAATGGGGTTTCACCACGTTGGCCAGTCTAGTCTCTAACTCCTGACCTCAAGTGATCCACCCACCACAGCTTCCCAAAGTGCTGGGATTACAGGTGTGTATCATGGCACCCAGCCTGAACCAGTCTTTGACAATGTCAAATTACCACAACTTGCTGGGTTTTTCCCAGAGGAGCAAATACTTTTGCAAAACAAAAAATGGATTATGTTTATAATAATAAATATTAAAGCTAACAATTGTTATATACCAGGTATAATTGTGAGAACTTTAGATAGAATAACTAATTCACAATATAACTCTGGGAGGTAGGTACTATTATTACACCATTTTACAAATGACAAAACCTAAACAATAGTGAGATTGACTAATTTACCCCAAACAATTTATAATCTATTTGGTACTACACTGTTGAATATGGTAGCCACTAACCATATGTGGCAATTTCAGTGAAAATGAAATAAAGTTTAGTTCCTCAATTACAGGCCATATTTCAAGTGCTCGGTAGCCACATGTGTCTAGTGGTTACCATACTGGACAGCCCACATAAAACGATTCCAGCATTGCAGGCAGGGCCAGCTTCATGGACATGTGATGTGTAGTTTCGAAGGGCCCCAAGCCTAGGAGGGTCCAGGCTTGGTTAATAACTTGCTGTTGTTGTCTTGCGTAGTTATAATAATTTTTTAACAAGAGGTCCTGCACTTTTATCTGGCACTGGGACCAGCATGCTATGGAGTGGGTCCTGATGGCAGAAGGTTTATTGGACAGCACTGTTGTGCATCAGGAAGTAAAGAAGATGGAGTATAATTGGGATAGACCTTATTGATGAAGGAGGATTTGAACTGTGCAGTGCTGCCAAGAGCTAGTTCCTACTGCCTAGAGTAAAAACACTTTTTCCAGCATTCCCTTTCTCTAAAGTGCCAATGAAATTAAAACCTTCACACAGAATTTATATACATGTAGGAAGTAAAACTTCTGGCAATGGGGGAGAGGGGGTTAAAAAAAAAAGAAAGTAAAAATTCCTCTTCAAAGTTTCCCTTCTTGTTAAAGAAGAAGAATAATAAATGTTAGAAATAATAGTTTCTTTTAAAGACTAACTTTCTTCAAAGCCTTCTTGATTTTTGTTAGTAACTTTTTGTTAAGCCCTATCCTATGTAGGTGTTAGATATAAAAAGAATAAGTGCATTCTATGTCCTTGTACTTTAACCATGATATGTGTGCTAGATGTGCTCACAGGCACATAGTACATTCTATGTCCTTGAACTTTAACTAATATATTTTTTACTTTTCTAAGTCTTTCACAAGCAACTTCCTCTCTCTTTCTTTTTAGACTTCCTCTTTTCCTTTGTTCTCCATTGCCTTTACCAATTTAGAAGTTTTAAGTTGTTAGCCATTCAAGGTCAGTTTAGATTGTGAAGTCTGGCTCCAACCAACAGAGCTCAGACACAGCAGTAAAGACATAATGCATAAAGAATAAATATGCGCCGGGCGCGGTGGCTCAAGCCTGTAATCCCAGCACTTTGGGAGGCCAAGACGGGTGTATCCCAAGGTCAAGAGATCGAGACCATCCTGGTCAACATGGTGAAACCCCGTCTCTACTAAAAATAGAAAAAATTAGCTGGGCATGGTAGTGCGTGTCTGTAATCCCAGCTACTCAGGAGGCTGAGGCAGGAGAATTGCCTGAACCCAGGAGGCGGAGGTTGCGGTGAGCTGAGATCGTGCCATTGCACTCCAGCCTGGGTAACAAGAGCGAAACTCTGTCTCAAAAAAAGAAAAAAAAAAAAAGAGGCCGGGCGCGGTGGCTCAAGCCTGTAATCCCAGCACTTTGGGAGGCCGAGGCGGGTGGATCACAAGGTCAAGAGATCGAGACCATCCTGGTCAACATGGTGAAACCCCGTCTCTACTAAAAATACAAAAAATTAGCTGGGCATGGTAGTGCATGCCTGTAATCCCAGCTACTCAGGAGGCTGAGGCAGGAGAATTGCCTGAACCCAGGAGGCGGAGGTTGCGGTGAGCCGAGATCGCGCCATTGCACTCCAGCCTGGGTAACAAGAGCGAAACTCCGTCTCAAAAAAAAAAAAAAAAAAAAAAAAAAAGAATAAATATACCTGCCTTTTCTTGCTTCATTGTACTCTCATGGCAAGACTGTTAGTGAGTAGTACCCTTTCTGCAGAAAGTAAAATTGCCTTGCTGAGAAAACTTTTTGTCTGAATGCTGATTTTTCTTTGCAGTACCTAAGAACAAGCATTCTGTCTCTAACAATACATATGCAATATAGTTGGGTCCTGAGCCCCTTTGAGACTGCCCCTTGAGCTGACCAACTGTTCCTATCCCACTTCATCCCCCATGTCTGACCTGGAGCTCACCCGAGGGGGAAATTTCCCCAACAATCACTCCTAAAAAAAATACCTAACATTCAAAATCAGTGAATGTCTTTCAAGTGGAGGTAATTCTCTTGTGAACAAAGTAGTATTTGAATCTAGTCTTCCCAACTTCCTGAATACTCCCAGATAAAGCACTAAATGAGGAGGCAAGGCACTGCCTAGACTCATAGTTGCCCTATAAATGCTAACAACCAAAACATGCTGACTCATCTTGACTACAACATAATTCCATAAAATATCATTTTCCCACATAACAAAGTTTTCATAATTAGAAGAGAGGTGGAACTGTTTTAACATACAAATCCTATGTCTGTTTTTTCACTTAATAGCATGTGAAATAAACTTACCCCATTATGACAATAGCTCTTAGAGAAGCACAGGATGTAGCCAGTAAAGATCTTTCTCTCGGCTCACTGCAACCTCCACTACCAGGTTTCAAGTGATTGTCCTGCCTCAGCCTCCTGAGTAGCTGGAATTACAGGCACCTGCCATTATGCCTGACTAATTTTTGTATTTTTAGTAGAGATAGGGTTTTAACATCTTGGCCAAGCTGATCTTGAACTCCTGATTTCATGATCCATCCACCTCTGCCTCCCAAAATGCTGGGATTACAGGCATGGGCCATCAAGCCCGGGCTACATCTGGCTAGTTTTTATATTTTTAGTAGAGATGGAGTTTCACCATGTCGGCCAGGCTGGTCTCAAACTCCTGACCTCCAGTGATCCACCCGCCTTGGACTCCCAAAGTGCTGGGATTACATAAACCACCACGCCCAGCTTGAAACTAATCTTAAAAGATGAATGGGTGGTCAGCAGAGGGAAAAGTATAAGCAAATACCTAGATCTATTAATTGCACAGTGCCAGAGTTTTAGGGGTACTGAAATTGCTTAGTATAGGAGATGAGAGGGTGATTTCAAGACTAATGGGCTTAGAGAAATAGATAGGTGTCTGATAATAAAGGATTTACTGTGCTAGTTGCATGGACTTTATCCTGTACTTATTGGGGAGCTATTCAAGGATTTTAAAATGAGGCTTCGAACGGGCCATGTTAGCTTTTGAAAAACTTAATCTTGCAGCTGTGAGAGAGCACAGAGACTGGACAAGAGGAGAGTATATTTGCAAGAACGGCAGTTGACTGAAGGAGGGGTGAGGCTATGTGACAGGGGTTAGGGAGACCAAAGCCACAACAGTGCTTGTAGGTTGTCTGTGGGAGTGGGAGTAGGAAGGCAATTTGGGAGTCAGTTTTTCATCCAGACTGTATTGGAGTGGATGGTTTTCCAGGAATCTTTCATTCTAGCAAACAATGTTACACAGAGATTTCATTCAAACTAATTATGTTTAATTTTAGTGAGGTTTCTACAGAGATGAATATGTAAAAGAAAACCAGAGAAAAGTGCACATTTACTTAAGAGAGAGATACTGGTTAAAAAGAAGTAGAAATAAATAAATCTGCAAGGAAAAAATCATGGAAAAAATGAGAAAACAATTTTTTTTTTCGAGACGGAGTTTCGCTCTTGTTACCCAAGCTGGAGTGCAATGGCGCCATCTCGGCTCACCTCAACCTCCGCCTCCTGGGTTCAGGCAATTCTCTTGCCTTAGCCTCCTGAGTAGCTGGGATTACAGGCACGTGCCACCATGCCCAGCTAATTTTTTGTATTTTTAGTAGAGACGGGGTTTCACCATGTTGACCAGGATGGTCTTGATCTCTTGACCTCATGATCCGCCCACCTCAGCCTCCCAAAGTGCTGGGATTACAGGCGTGAGCCACTGTGCCTGGCCAATAATTTTTTTTTTTTTTTTTAATGAGTGAAGAAAGAAAAAAGAGTAGAGGAGAATATAAAGAAAACGGATTTTTTTTCCTATTTATGTATTCGCATTTCCTTTTGCATACATTTACACTATGTTTTGGAAATAATATATTGACAATCCAGAATGTTAATTCACGGAAGACAGCAGATTCTGAACCACGTTTCATCAAGATCTGAAAGTGACTTCTGCTCATAACAGCACTGTTCTTGAATAATAACACCCCTACCTGAGAACCCGAGTTTCACCATGTGGCACTCTCTCAACTTCCTAATGTTACTTAATCTAGAAAGAAATCATTATGTCTATTTTATAGAAAAGAGTCCTGAGACATTAAAATGGTTACTTGTACATATTACATGTTAGATATTTGATTTTGTTAGTCATTTATTATTCATCCTTTCTTTGATTGTTGCAGTAATTTTCATGGGCATTCTGAAATCCCCTCAAATTCCAGTTCTCTTTCTCTTGGACCAAGTGCACCCTCCTTAGAGTTTTTTCCTTAGACACAGAAATTATTGCTGCTATTTCTTTAAGTCTGCCTATGCTGATCTTTAGGCAAATAATGATTTATCTTGGACCGTGGTACTTTTTATGCATGTCTGTAAAAAACAATTTTGGTTGAAAGATTCTATGTAAAAACATGCTTTACTATTATTATCTTCATAAAGCTGCCATGGAATAAATAAATATTAACATGGAAAGCATAATAGCAATGTTGTATTATTTTATTTTACAATTTTTATTATTGGAATGTAAGAAAATATAGAAAAGCACAAAGAAAAATAATAGTTGCCATGTGCCTGTAGTCCCTGCTATCTGGGAAGAAGAGTCAGGAGGCTCACTTGAGCCAAGCAATTGCAGGCTGTAGTGTGCTGTGGCAAAGCTTGTGATTAGCCACTGCACTCCAGCCTGAGCAACATGGTGAGACCCTGTCTCAAAAATCATCAATATCATCATAATCATCAATATTATTGTCATTATCATCCATATTCACACCATCTAAAACCAATGACTATTATTATATTAGCATGTTTTCATATTTTTAAAAGAAAAATTAGTTTACTCCCAGACTTACAGGAATTCAAGTAACAGAATTGCACAAAAATAAAAGTTTAAAAATCAGTTCTAGTCTACCACCCAGAAATTACCATGATTAGCTTTAGAATAATATGCATTAGCCATAGACTGTGTATATATGCACGTTCTTCTTCTTCTTTTTTTTTTTTTTTTTTTTTTTTTTTGAGACGGAGTTTCGCTCTTGTTACCCAGGCTGGAGTGCAATGGCGGGATCTCGGCTCACCGCAACCTCCGCCTCCTGGGCTCAGGCAATTCTCCTGCCTCAGCCTCCTAAGTAGCTGGGATTACAGGCATGCACCACCACGCCCAGCTAGTTTTTTTATATTTTTAGTAGAGACGGGGTTTCACCATGTTGACCAGGATGGTCTCGATCTTTCGACCTCGTGATCCACCCGCCTCGGCCTCCCAAAGTGCTGGGATTACAGGCTTGAGCCACCGCCCACGGCCTATATGCACGTTCTTCTAAACACACATACAGATAGAAAGAATACCTTTATAAGCATGGGGTCATGCCATTTATATAAACATCTTAAAATTAAACTTACTTGAATTTAATAGAAGAGAAATTAAAGCAATGATTGAACTTCAAATAAATATTCCTCCGCCACAAGATACATTATTTCCTAAAGACTTATAAATACTCCAAAATATGAAAAGACTGCATTGTTGCACTTTTTATAAAGCGATGTTTTCATCGTGTGTATCATCAATGACTCCTTACTTTGAAAGATAAGAGCATTAACATCCTCACACTCCTACTCATATCTCCATCCTCTTCCTTCCCTAGTTCAAAACATTTACCTGTTATTTTTGTTTTCATAATTCTCATTATTTTTTGCAGGCACAGCTAACATATTGAAATATCCTCTGTCTACAACCTCTACATTCTCTATTATTATTATTATTATTATTATTATTATTATTATTATTTTGAGATGGAGTCTCACTGTTGCCAGGCTGGAGTGCAGTGGTGTGATCTCGGCTCACTGCAACCTCCACCTCTTGGGTTCAAGCGATCCTCCTGTCTCAGCCTCTGGAGTAGCTGGGATTACAGGTACACACAACCATGGCCAGCTAATTTTTTGTTTGTTTGTTTTGTTTTGTTTTGAGACGGAGTTTTGCTCTTGTTACCCAGGCTGGAGTGCAATGGCACGATCTCGGCTCACTGCAACCTCTGCTTCCTGGGTTCAGGCAATTCTCCTGCCTCAGCCTCCTGAGTAGCTGGGATTACAGGCATGCACCACGATGCCCAGCTAATTTTTTGTATTTTTAGTAGAGACGGGGTTTCACCATGTTGACCAGGATGGTCTCGATCTCTTGACCTTGTGATCCACCCGCCTTGGCCTCCCAAAGTGCTGGGATTACAGGCTTGAGCCACCGTGCCCGGCTTAATTTTTTTATTTTTAGTAGAGATGGGTTTTCACCATGTTGGCCAGGATGGTCTCAATCTTGACCTCGTGATCTCTCCACCTCAGCCTCCCAAAGTGCTGGGATTTTAGGCGTGAGCCACCTCAATTATTTTTTATATGGAAGTAGTTAATCCTGAAAAGTCCCTCTCCTCACTGTCAACTACTAACCTAAAACTGCCACCACAACCCAGTCTTGGCTGCTCAAGACTTTCTTCTCCTGCCCCTGTCTCTCTAATAAGGCCCGTGAGAAAGGTAAATGGAAAAATACCTAGAGGATGAGCAGAGCAGCTCCATAATATCACTTAGCTTGACGGGGGAGGGAAAGAAGCTGTGAACACACATGCATTAATAATTTTGACCCTGTATAACTTTTTGTAACACTACAATTTTCTCAAATAATAGATATAGACAATAGAACTCAGATGATGCAACTGGCTTCTGAGAACTTACTGAAGAAGTTGGGGCAGAAGGTCCAGGGAGAGTAGGGTCAAAGGCAGGGAGTGAAGGGAAGGGCATTTTGTCTCTAGTGCTGCAGCGCACAGCAGAAGAGCTGGGCCCAGGACCCCCACTTCAGGGCAGTGCAGCCAGCCCGCTCATCTCCGGGCTTCCTAGCTCAGTACTCATAGCTAAGCAGCTGGCTTGACAGCAGGGAACATTCAGTTAATGGTAGTTCAGAGGAATTGCTTGCTGTGTTTGCAGCTGTTTCTTCTTGATAAAATAATTGTTGTTTCAAATGGCAAATTATTATGTAGAATCAGAATCAAATGAAAAAGCAGTGTTGTAGCAGTTTGATTTACTGGTATATAAATAAGTTTTGGGAAAAGAAGATACACATGAAAAAGTGTGATCATTGGCTGGGTGCAGTGACTCATGCCGGTAATTCCAGCACTTTGGGAGGCTGAGGTGGCTGGATCACTTGAGGTCAGGAGTTCAAGATCAGCCTGGCAAACATGGCAAAAATCCTGTCTCTACTAAAAATACAAAAATTAACCAGGTGAGGTGGTGCACACCTGTAGTTCCAGCTACTTGGGAGGCTAAAGCAGGAGAATGGCTTGAGCCTAGGAGGCGGAGGTTGCAGTGAGCTGAGACTGCATCATTGCACTCTAGCCTGGGTGACAGAGTGAGACTCTGTCTCAAAAAGAAAAAAAAGAGAAAAGAAAGGAAAAGAAAGAGGGAAGAAAAAGTATGATCATTATACATGGTGGATTAGCACTTTCCCAAAGATCAAAGATAACAATGCCGGGGAGATGTGACACAGGACTGAAGTAGCATGGTCACATGTCAAATCAATGCCTTCACATATTTTCCAACCCCGTTTCGTGGAAAGCACACACACTTGAGAATGATATATGGCAATCTGTTTTACCTATACTAAAAGCTCAGACACTGCTAGTAAGTATAGGCAAACTGTTAGAAACAGCTATGTGTATTATTTTTAAATATTTCAAAGGTCTTGTGCCGAGTGTCAGGCTGTGATTTGCCAGTAGTAACTATTAGTTGAAGAAAGAAATGAGTAAATGAGTGATGCAAATGAATGATTCATTTTTGTTGTTTTTGTTGCCTGTATCTACAAAGAGCAATTACGAGCATGCAGACCACTTAGGTGTAGAGTGAGACGGGAGTTTTAGGAATGTGGAAAGAACAGCAACTGAGTGAAAAAAGCAGAGGCTAGAAAAGGGATTTCAGAATGTGCTGTGTGCCGTGGTTTTCTCTCCCTATAATGCTTGGCCATGTTTCAGACCCTAACTAGGCTATAGATTGAAAATTCTTAGGCCAGGCATGGTGGCTTATGCCTGTAATCCAAGCACTTTGGGAGGCCAAGATGGGTGGATCGCCTGAGGTCAGGAGTTTGAGACCAGCCTGATCAATATGTTGAAACCCCAAAACCCCATCTCTACTAAAAATACAAAAAAATTAGTTGGGCCTGGTGGTAGGCACCTGTAATCGCAGCTACTTGGGAGGCTGAGGCAGGAGAATCACTTGAACCCAGGAGGCGGAGGTTGCAATGAGGCAAGATCGTGCCATTGTATTCCAATCTGGACAACAAGAGCAAAACTCCATCTCCAAAAAAAAAAAAAAGGAAAAAAAATTCTTAGTTCCTGTGTTATAGGAGGGATTGAAAAGAGTCGGGTAGCAAGAATCTCAGACCCTGGATGGCCCAGACATGGAGCTCGGATGACTAAGCTTGCTGAGCAGCAGAATTACCAGGCAGTGTGACTTGCTTCCAGGCTCTGATGAGGCTCTGCCAGCAGAGAAGAGTGTAACTCCCCTGAGGGTTCATTCACCAGGGCCTCATTGACCTAAAGAATGCTTCACCTTGTGCCTCTGCCTTGGCACATCCTGAAGAGGATCAGAGGGAAGTCACAGAAGGTCTTGCTCACTCAGATGTATTCTTTGTTTGTGCTGCTCACATTCCATTTTGAGTTTTCATAAAAGTTATGATAGAATAAATCAGTCTGTGCATTTCATTTTTATCACTACATTCCCAAACCCAGTCATTTCAGACTGGGTTTGGAGACACCTAAAACCGCTTTCATAGTTTTGGCCTGTGGTCAGTGTTCATTCATAATACTCTATACCTCTTATTTCATTTGCTGATATTCCTGCTTTGCCCTTTTCTTTCCATATTGTTTTAAGCTTCCTGCAAGTGCTTTTTTTTCTCCTCGGTGCCAATTAATGGAATTCCAGGGCTTGGCCTTTGAACTTCTAGACTTCTAACTGTTCTCTCTTCCTGCAGTTTTTGAAAAGCAGGTAGTATTTTGGATCATAAAACTGTCCTTGCAAAAGTTATTTCAAAGAATTTTTTTCTTAAAGGGTCAGATAGTAAATCTTTTTGGCTTGCAGGCTGTATGAGACTACTCAACTCTGGCATTATAGTGTGAAAGCAGACATAGGCAATATGCGTACCAATGGAAATAGCTGTGTTCCAATAAAGCTTTATTTACAAAAACAAGAGGCTGGGCTGAACAGTAGGTTGCTGACTCTGGTTGCCTATACTTTCTGTTAGACATCTAGATATCAGAGATTGTTGCTATGGCCTGTGAAAGTAATTCCCAGTCCTTAACAGGTTGTAAACTGGTTCTCATTCCTAATAATGTGCTTACCTCATAATAAAAACTTAAATTGATACCCTCATTTTCTGGAAGACATACATACTTATAAATTTTCTTTGTTGAACAGAACAGGATTTTTGGCCTTCTGTCTTTCCCTTGTGCATATAGGTAAAAGGCATCGATTGTGTCACAGGTTTAGTTCTTTAGAAGCAAAGAGAAAGGCAGAGCTTTGGAAGCCAGATGTTTTATTAGGAATCAACACTTACAAAAGGTAAGGAAAGGGGTCAGGTACAGTGGCTCACACCTGTAATCCTAGCACTTCAGGAAGCCAAGGTGGGCTGATTGCTTGAGTCCAGGAGTTCAAGACCAGCCTAGGCAACATGATGAAATCCTGTCTCTAGAAAAAATACAAAAAAAAAAAAAAAAAAAAAAAATGAGCCAGGTGTGGTGGCGGGCACCGGTACTCCCAGCTATTTGGGAGGCTGAAGTAGGAGGATTGCTTGAACCTGGGAGGCAGAGATCGCAGCAAGCTAAGATCATGCCACTGCACTTCCTCTTGGGTGACAGAGCAAGACACTGTCAAAAGAAAAAGGAAAGAAAAAAAGAGAAAAAGAAGGGAAGGAAGGAAAGAAGGAAGGAAGGAAAGAGAAAGAAAGAAGGAAGGGAGGGAGAGAGGAAGGAAGAAGAGAAAAAGGAAGAAAGGAAGGAAGGAAGAGAGGGAGGAAGGGAGGGAGGGAAGAAGGAAGGAAGGAAGGGGAAGGATGTGGGACTGGGTGGAGGGAGGAGTAGAACTGCTATGTAGACTCAAAAAGCCTCATCTGATCTGTCACAGAAAGCTGATGGAATAGTATCAAGTGTCTAAGGCTTTATTATACCTTCACATAATCACCAGATGCACACAGCCGTAGGAAGAGGAAGACTTTGGGTAAAGCAGCTTTCTGGAAAAAGCTCATCACTAAAGACATCTGCTGACTGCCTACCCATTGCTGGCCATCAAGTCCTTTCTTGAAGAGGCATCTGGGCAGGGAATCTTCGTATCTACCACAGAGAGCTAAATGGGATAAGAAAACAAAAAGTCTGAAAGTGTGCCTTACATAAGTTAACATCAGTGTTGGAGTAACTTGAAGAAAAACAACCATAGAGCCATTGAGCAAATTAATTTTATCATTTTTATGCTGTTTTCTCTTTTTGTATATAGAAATATCCCTTTTTTTTGAGATGGAGTTTTGCTCTTGTCACCCAGGCTGGAGTGCAATGGTGTGATCTTGGCTTCCTGCAACCTCCACCTCCTGGGTTCAAGTGATTCTCCTGCCTCAGCCTCCCAAGTGGCTGGGACTACAGGCACACACCACCATGCCCAACTAATTTTTGTATTTTTGGTAGAGACGGGGTTTCACCATGTTAGCTAGGCTAGTCTTGAACTCCTGACTTCAGGTCATCTGCCCGCCTCGGCTTCCCAAAATGCTGGGATTACAGGCATGAGCCACTGCATCCAGCCAGAAATATCCCTTTTCATGGAGAGAAGAAAGGACTGTGGGACACAGATATCATAATGGAGAAATATGTGGGCATTTTTGCTTTCCTCCTCTATTTTCTCACCCACTTTCCCTATCTTGCTATCATGCATCTTCTGTTCTGCCTTCTTCCATCACACTTCTTACTTGCTCCATTTTTCATTTACTAAGTAAATTATATACAAGACTATTAAATAGCTTCCTATATAAAGCAATATCCAGGGCTTACAATGGAGGTAAATTTCACAAACTACATGTAACATTTTCTTGTTTGGGGGCCACTAAGTTTAATGTTGCTACAAATATTCATGTACAAATTTTTGTGTGAATATATGTTTTCAGTTATCATGGTTGTGTACCTGTGAGTGGAATTGCTGGATTATATGGCACTATGTTTAGCTATCTGAGGAACTGCCAAACTGTTTTTCCAGAGGGACTGCACAATTTTACGTTCCCACCAGCAATATATGAGGGTTCCAGTTTCTCTATCCTTGTCAACACTGGTATTGTCTATCCTTTTCATTATAGCCATCATAGTGGGTCTGAAGTGGTATGTTTGTGATTTTGGTTTGCATTTCCCTAATAACTGATGGCGAATGTCATTTCATGCCTTGTTTCTTTGAGTTCTTTAAAAATGGTAGCCCTAGGAATTATAATTAATATAATAATTTACAACAATCTAATTTGGATCAACAGCAACTTAATTTCAATAGTACACAAAAACTTTGCCCCAATATAGCTCTATTCTGATCTTCTTTCTTTGTACTATTATTGTCATACAGATTACATATTTATATATTGTAAGCCCATCAATACAGTTTTGTAATTATTGCTTTATGCAATTATCTTTTTAATCAAATAGGAAAAGAAAAAAGTTACATAAAGTCTTTTTTTTTTTTTTTCGACTAGTTTCTATTACCTTTTTTTTTTTTTTTTAAATTGCATTTTA